AAGTTCACACTACACTACCATAAGAATGTGTGGAGCAGTGGAAAAATGCGGGAAACAACACATGAGGGGAATGCAGTACCAGAACAAACACGTGATAAAGTTGTCAGTCCGGTTGCAGCTTGAACAGCCGTAGCACCTTGATGTGCTTCTTTTGTCGACACAGCTCTGGCCTCAAACTGCGAATGTACAGCGCCTCCAGTGTGAATCTGTGCGCGTTGTTCCGGGCTGGTGTGATCACACTGAAGCTGCTGTTGCGTTCCTGCAGGATGCATTCAGGTTGCGCCTGCAAATGCTTTGTGATGACGCTATCACTTGTTGCCACACGTTTGTCAGGCGGCTTCTTGTACAGCTTGTCTGGGATATGCTGCTTGATCCTTTCCGAGAATCGCTGACATGTCTCACCAACGTACGTCCGCTCACAGCGACACGCATACTTATAAATAAAATTACTGTTTTCAAGAGTTGGTGAAACATCCTTCGCGATAGACCTGAATGCGGGTCTGGTTGTATAAATTACAATGGGGGATACTGTAGGATAGCAGTTCAAAATTGCAGCTTTAATCTTTTTGCGGAAGGCAATGCAATTTTGCCCTTTCCACGGCAATTTTGTGATAATACGCGTTGCAGATTCAAGTTGAGCAGAAGCTGTATCTCGGCTAGGTTCAAGAACGCTTGTCATGACTCGCTTGAGTACTTTGAGTGGGTAACGTTAGAACACAGAATATCCTCTAGCTTAGCAATTTCAGCTGATAATAGTGATGGTGAGCAGTTGTATTTACCTCTGAAAGTTAATGATCTGATCAAATTGATTTTGTTTCTAGTGTCACAAAACGAGTCCCAGCGGGTGTAAAGACCTGTGAACGTCGGCTTTCTATATACTGTGGTGAGCAATTCTGTGGAAGAATGCTTAATCAATACATCAAGAAACGGCAATTCTCCATTATTCTCCTCCTACATTGTAAACTGGAGAGCTGGGTGAAGATTATTTAAACGCTCAGAGAATTCCAATGCCAGTTTCCGGTTGTGAAATGCTGCGAATGTGTCATCCACATAACGCCTATAGAATTGGGGCCAATGACTGTCTGGAATTGTGTTCTCAAAATATCCAACAAAGATATTGGCTAGCACGGGGCCCAAGGGTGAACCCATGGCTACTCCGTCCCTCTGTGCGTACATATTGCCATTGAAACTGAACTGCACGTCTGATGTTGCTTTGAAAAGCAGCTTCTTGAAAAGATCTTGGGGTATTTGCGGGGCTGATATTTCATCATCATGGTATAGCGACTGTATGCAGATATCTATTGTTTCCTTGAGAGGCACGTTTGTAAAGAGGCTGACGACATCGAAAGAGCACAGGAACAGCGATCCAGAGTTCTCTGCCTGCTGCTGGCCAAATTCCTTTACGTCATCCACGAACTCGAAAGTATCCTTAGTTGCGTGGGCGGAATATTTAATCAGGACTGGCTTTAGTAATTCAGCTAGCCACTTGGCCATTTCGTGTTGGGGAGCATTGATCATGGACAGGATTGGTCTAAGTGGCACGTCTTTCTTATGTATTTTCGGTACGCCATAGAGCACAGGTCGGCACGAGCCAACGGGTCGGATCCGGTCGTAATCTATATTGAGAATTTTTCCAGCCTTTTTTATCGCAATAGGTATGCCTGCAAGGCGCGTTCATCCAGGTAAGTGCGGTCATGCGTTTCCGTCGGTCCCAAGAATTGAAACTTCGATGCATCAGCCAGAATAGCATTCATCTTGTCATTGTAATCACTTCGCTGCATTATCACCACTCCATTCCCTTTGTCCGGCCTGCTGATTATTATATCTTTGTCGTTCTTTATTTTCCTGATGGCTGCCATATGCTTGTCGTTGAGGGGATAATCGGTTTTATCTGCTTTACTGTTACTAAACTCCTCTGCAAGATTCGCCAACGCTGCTTGGCACGTATCCCTCTTGGCATCACTCACTTGTACGCAGCGCTCCAGTTGATCATTTGTTAGTTCGAATTCTGCCTGCACAATCTCCTTGTCCATTCTGGAACTAGGGGGGGACTCCAAACTTCAAGCCCCTGCACAGTACGTCTTTTTCAATATTAGTTAGCATAACTCCGGCCAAGTTGAGTAGGTGGTATATACACACAACAAGAAGGTTGTCAATTTCATAATACTAAAAGCTTTTCACCTATTTTCATCAGTAGTTACATGGGAATGAGCAAGAACGAAAACGAAGCCAGAATTTATACTGGGGGTAGAGAATCAGCAAGAATATTCTTACGCGCCTCAAGTTCACACTACACTACCATAAGAATGTATGGAGCAGTGGAAAAATGCGGGAAACAACACATGAGGGGAATGCAGTACCAGAACAAACACGTGATAAAGTTGTCAGTCCGGTTGCAGCTTAAACAGCCGTAGCACCTTGATGTGCTTCTTTTGTCGACACAGCTCTGGCCTCAAACTGCGAATGTACAGCGCCTCCAGTGTGAATCTGTGCGCGCTGTTCCGGGCTGGTGTGATCACACTGAAGCTGCTGTTGCGTTCCTGCGGGATGCATTCAGGTTGCGCCTGCAAATGCTTTGTGATGGCGCTATCACTTGTTGCCACACGTTTGTCAGGCGGCTTCTTGTACAGCTTGTCTGGGATATGCTGCTTGATCCTTTCCGAGAATCGCTGACATGTCTCACCAACGTACGTCCGCTCACAGCGACACGCATACTTATAAATAAAATTACTGTTTTCAAGAGTTGGTGAAACATCCTTCGCGATAGACCTGAAAGCGGGTCTGGTTGTATAAATTACAATGGGGGATACTGTAGGATAGCAGTTCAAAATTGCAGCTTTAATCTTTTTGCGGAAGGCAATATATAAATATCTCACTCTCACTCACTCTCTCCCCCGCTCTCCCCTCTCTCTCTCCCCCGCTCTCCCCTCTCTCTCTCTCTCACTTCCCCTCTCTCTCTCTTTCTCTCTCTCTCTCTCTCTCTCTCTCTCTCTCTCTCTCTCTCTCTCTCTCTCTCTCTTTCTATCTATCTCCCCCTCTCTCTCTCTCTCTCTCTCTCTCTCTCTCTCTCACTCACTCTCTCCCCCCTTCTCCCCCATCTCTCTCTCTCACTCCCCCCCCCCTCTCTCTCTTTTTCTCTATCTATCTCTCATTCTGTCTATCTCTCTCTCATTCTCTCTCTCTCATTCTGTCTATCTCTCTCTCACTCTCTCTCTCTCTCTCTCTCTCTCTCTCTCTCGTTTTCTCCCTTTCCTTTTTTTCTCTCTGTCATACTGTATCGACGACCTAAGTTTGATTTTTCACTTCTTCCCCACTCATCTACTACCATGTTCATAATCATTAAGAGAGCATGATTCTCTTCCAAAAAATGCAGTGTATGATGGACCTACTGGACACAGCGTTCACCTGCGCACCTGCACTGATGACAGTTCACTTTCGTCCCAATGTAGACCACCCGCTTCTACCTCGTCTTGATGCCTCAAAAGCAGCTGGACAGAACTACGCAAAAAACCTCTTTTCCAATACATGCCCACCATGACTTACAGGGTTTGTAATTCGGTTGTGGCTGTGAAAAGCCCGTCAGGTAGGTCAACCAGTTGATTATACATCAAATTTCTGGGGAAACAAAGTAGAATTTGGATAAGATGTACATTGTTTGGAATGAGGTAGTGACGCACCTCTAGCTCCTTGGAGTTCATGTCTTCCTCGACGCGACAATGGTCTAAACTAACTGTCAGTACCTTCAACGTTCGCGGCCTATCATCAGGCATAAAGAAGCAACAGCTGGCTTCCGATTTGCAGCGCTACGACGTTCAAATTTGTAGCTTGCAAGAGACGAAAATTCAAAATGGATTTGACGATGTTATTGGCGACTACCGAATATTCTGCCTCCCTTCAGACTCCCGACATTATGGCCTGGGGTTCTGCATTCATCGCTCGCTCTGGGAGCGGGTGCATCGCGTTTGGAGCGAGTCGGACCGTGTTGCAGTTCTGCAGATTCGCTCGTCGGAAAAGTGCTTTATCTCCATCGTCAACACTTACGCTCCGACCTCAGCGAAAGTCGCACAAGACCATGGCTGTTTGGAGGACTTCTACTCATCGCTTGGCACGGCTCTCAGTAAGGTACATTCCTCCTCAGTTATTCTAATTTCGGGAGACTTCAACGCCAAGCTTGGTGGAATGAGTTCTCAGTATCGGTGCATAGGACACTACGGACGCGGGCGACGGAATTTTAGCGGAGCTGTCCTGGCCGACTTCTGCGACGCACATCATCTCTTCGCTTGCAACACTGCGTTTCAGCATCCAGCGCGGCACCAAACAACATGGACTGGCTGGAGAAAAGGACCTCAAGATGGTGTGTCTATCCCTATATACAATCAAATAGATTATATATTCTGTCTTCATCGACAACGACAGCTACTTGTAGACAGCCGGTCATATTCTGGTACGCTGGTGGAGTCTGATCACCGACTAGTGGTTGCAAGACTCGATCTCTCTCGCCTAGGCCATGTGTGGAGCTCTGTTGAGCACGGTAAGAAACAGCGTGCCAGCCAAAGAATACTGGTTGGTGGCCTCTCGGACCCAACCATGCGAAGGAGGTATTGTGATGAGCTGGAATCCTCTCTCACCGGCAACCGGCTCGACAACACTAATTGCCCATCAACTACCTGGAATGGTATTCGTCAAACGGTGATTACAGCAGCGCGGAACACTCTGGGCGTTGCTGCACCCAGGAAGAGAGGTGGAAAGTGGATCATGGACGCCGACACGCTAAAAATGTCCTGTGAGAAGCGTCGACTGAGACACCGGATCCGTGATGAAAAGAATGCCGATGAAGTTAGCATCCTAAAGCAACAGCGCAACAAACTCTCCCACATGATCCGACAACACGCCTGTGCAAATGCAGCCAGCCATCTAGATGAAAAAGCTCGTGAAATTGAAAATCAAAAAGACGGAGCCCAGATGTTCCGTGCTGTGCATCTACTGCAGCGCAAAAAGCAGTCGCCGATAGTGGTGAATGATGCCAGCGGGAAACTGGTCCTTCGCCCGATGGAGTCAGCTTCAATAATCAGAAATCACTTCTCAGCAGCCTTCGCTGATTCCACCTGCGCACCTCTACACCAAGAGAACAAACCTCTTGGGATACCGATAAGCGAGGTAGAAGTCAGGTCAGCAGCACGACGCCTAAATAACGGCAGAGCGATTGGACCCGACGACCTACCTGCTGAACTTATAAAATATGGCCCAGCACCACTTCACCGTCACCTTGCCGATCTATACACACGTGCCATCAACTGTGGTGATCCGCTGTCGGTTGGCCATGGAACTCTCGTCCCACTTCAGAAGCCTGGGAAGCCTAAAGGTCCTCCATCTAACCTGAGGCCCATTGTGCTTCTCACTGCACTTCGGAAAGTGCTGTCCATCATTGCCCTAAATCGCATCAGGCATGCAGTCAACACGTTCCTGTCTCCGAACCAGAGTGGCTTCCGCAGTGGTAGGAGTACGGCTGATGTTGTTTGGTCCTACAGATGGATCGCGGCACGGTGCCAGCGAGTGAAGGAATCATTTGGCGTGCTCGGCATAGACATGTCGAAAGCGTTCGACACAATATCCAGGCACCGTTTGCTCACTTTATTAGCTAGCTTCCTTGAGAATGATGAGGTCACCATTATCTCCTACCTACTCAGGAACACGTCCCTTGAGGTCCGGCTACCTGGAGGGAAGAGCGAGCAGTTCCAGACCACCCGAGGCACACCACAGGGTGACTCACTATCACCTGTCCTATTCGTTATCTACCTGGAGGCAGCGCTTCGGGAGGTGAGACAGATTATCTGCGCAAGACCCGACCTAGATGTCAGGCTCGGCTTGCCAACTGATACAGAGTACGCCGACGATGTCGACTTCCTATCGTCTGACTGCAAACGTATTCAAGAGCTCCTGCCCGACATTGCAAAGTGCCTCAAAGCCTGGGACCTCAACATCAATGAATCTAAAACAGAACTCACAAACATCACACGGCTGAACGACAGAGTGTGCGAGGAATGGCGCCTCACTAGGAAGCTGGGCTCCCTCATTGGTGACCACGAGGATGCTGCGCGGAGAATGCAACTCGCCACAGCTGCCCTGCACCGGCTCTGGGCATTATGGATACGAGGTTCTATTGTAAACGAATCGCTGAGAGTACGGCTATACAAGGCATTCGTCTTACCGGTCCTGTGCTACAACAACGGAACTTGGGGCCTCACTGCCACCGCTATGCATAGAGTTGATGCGTTCCACAGACAACAACTGCGGAAAGTTATTGGCATACGGTACCCAGCTAAGATCAAGAATAACACCCTGTACAAGAGGACAAACTCAACACCACTTGGTATCTCGATCCTGGGAGCCCGCTGGCGTCTGTTTGGGCACGTGCTGCGGCTGGACCAGAGTGCACCGGCGAACCTGTCAATGTGCTCCTACTTCAAGCCATCCACTGAGCCTACCTGGAGGGGCAGGCCGCGCACAACTCTGCCGGTCGTGCTCAGACACGATCTCGAGCTGGTTGGGAGGACCCTCAAGACCTCGGCAGATCTTGAGGAGCTGAGGAGCATCGCCCAGAATCGCGGGGCGTGGACCTACCTCAGCGGCCGTATCCTGGAGAGATATGTTGCTGCTCACAGATGAACCCTGATAATGATCAGCAAGTTCAAATTCAACTCGGTTGAGCTGCTCGTTTGCTTGTTTTAATTGTATTCTATTTTCGTCACGCGTTTTATATCGCATATGTTTTATATCGCGATCAATATCCTGTTTGGCTGTTGTCGCTTCGGCTTATGCGAAAGCTATACATGCTGTGTATATTTACATTGCATTGATGCCAACGCGGAGAAGCTTCTAATAATGTACATTGTACGTCAAGTGTGTGGGTTACAGTGAGATCTGCGTCTCACCCACCGGTGTAGATGAAAGAGAGAGAGAGAATGATAGTGAGAGAGAGAATGAGAGGGAGAGAGAGAGAAACATAGGGAGATGATCAAATTAAGGAGATACATCCGGTTGATTTGACGTTGCACTGTCGGGCTAATATAGGATTGCAAGTACATTGATTTGTAACTAGTTAGATGAACATATTAGATCATCGGTGCCTCCACCAACAAGCTAGCTCCCTGCTTAAGGAGATGTTCACAGGCACAGCTCCAGTTGGCGCCCCAGCAACATCAAGGCTACTTGAGGGCAGCAGTCCAATCTGCTATGTGTGCATTTTCTCCGCAGTCCCTTCGGGCGACGTTCCATCTGGTTTGTAGCAATTGTCCAGTGGAATGCTCTTTCCGTCAGCGTCAGGCTCTCACACTCGCACTAGATCTAGAGGCGATTGCAGCGGAGCAGTAACTCGGTCAGCTACTCTCACAGACTGATCGATCTCTGTCTCTCTCTCTCTCTCTCTCCCTCCCCTCCCCCTCTTTCAGTCTCCCTCCTCTCTCCCCCCCTCTCTCTCTCTCTATCTATCTATCTCCCCCCTCTCTCTCTATCTCTCTCTCACTCACTCTCTCCCCCCTTTTCCCCCATCTCTCTTTCTCTCTCACTCCCCCCTTCTCTCTCTTTTTCTCTCTCTCTCTCTCTCTATCTATCTATCTCTCATTCCCTCTATCTCTCTCTCATTCTCTCTCTCTCATTCTGTCTATCTCTCTCTCTCTCACTCTCTCTATCTCTCTCTCTCTCTCCCTTTCTCTCTCTCTCTCGTTTTCTCCCTTTCCTCTTTTTTTCTCTCTGTCATACTGTATCTACGACCTAAATTTGATTTTTCACTTCTTCCCCACTCATCTAATACCATGTTCATAATCATTTAGAGAGCATGTCTCTCTTCCAAGAAATGCAGTGTATGATGGACCTACTGGACACAGCGTTCACCTGCGCACCTGCACTGATGACAGTTCGCTTTCGTCCCAATGTAGACCACCCGCTTCTACCTCGTCTTGATGCCTCAAAGGCAGCTGGACAGAACTACGCAAAAAACCTCTTTTCCGATACATGCCTACCATGACTTACAGGGTTTGTAATTCGGTTGTGGCTTTGAACAGCCCGTCAGGTAGGTCAACCAGTTGATTATGCCTCAAATTTCTGGGAGAACAAAGTAGAATTTGGATAAGATGCACATTGTACGTCAAGTGTGTGGGTTACAGTGAGATCTGCGTCTCACCCAACGGTGTAGATGAGAGAGAGAGAGAGAATGATAGAGAGAGAGAGAATGAGAGGGAGAGAGAGAGAAACATAGGGAGATGAACCAATTAAGGAGATACATCCGGTTGATTTGACGTTGCACTGTCGGGCTAATATAGGATTACAAGTACATTGATTTGTAACTAGTTGGATGAACATATTGCCACACGCAGAGCCTTCCAGCTCTTACGACAGGCAGCTGTTGCCCGGAGCGAATGGAGATCTTCCAGAGTCAGGAGTCTACCCTGCCCGGTTTTCTGCAGATCTTGATGCGGCACGCTGGGAAGAGTGACGCGTGGCCGGCCAAGCCATCTGGTGCTGTTGTTTGCGAAAAATATTTCCATTGCCGATACTGCGGGGGTTGATGATGGCAGGCGCAAGATGTGACCAAATAGACGCTACCTGGCACGGCGTACGAAGATGCTGATCTCCTCTATTTGGCACCTCTGGTACAGTGCTTAATTGGAGATGCGCTGTGGCCATTTGATGCCAAGGAGAGACCGCAACTGACGTCGGTGGAGGGCATCCAACTTCTGGAAAGCAGATTGCGTGAGGCCCCAAGTGCCACAGTTGTACGCGAGGACGGGTAGGACGAATGCAGACTACAGTCACAGGCGCAGACGCTCACTCACAGCAGATCTCCGTTTCCAGAGGTTAAACATCGAAGTGAAGGCCGCTGAAGCAAGCTGCTTCCTTCGTGCTACGTAAACCTCGTCGCCAAGAAGAGATCCTAGTTTTTTTTCGGACCATTCTCCACTTATCACCAATCCTTTCGTTGCTTCTGAGCACCTGAGTACGTTTCGTTTTACTTGGGTTGACACTCACTGACCCTATAATGTGTGAATGAAGTAGTGATGAGGAGGAGTTTGATGTGGACAAGAGGAAGTCTGCAGTGTACAAGCATTTGGTGTCCAGTCCAGAATGTCGTAAGGTGTTTGACGTTTCCTTGTTTAGTGTTATTCGTTGCGCACGTTTCTTCAAGCAATTGCAGGTGTTCAAAGCTGTGTATATTAGTACTCGTGACCCTGTGCTATGTAAACAGAAAGAAAACGTTGTATCACTCACACTCTTCAAGTAATACACACGCACCATTACATTCATTCGCACATTATCACATTCATCTGCCACTACCTTTCTCACATACACTATATTTACACATTGCAAAGGTGCAAACTTCGCTTTTTGTACTTGTTAACTGCTGTATTTCTACCTGAAACCATATTAGCCACATGTATATAAGTGTGTGTTTTAGTTATTACATTTTTATGTGACGGCGTTCCACTGATGACAGTCACAAGAAAACGTTATGGAACTTGACTTTCTTCATTTTTGCTGTTGTTATGAGTGCACAATTTATCTTATTTATTGCCATTTTACGACTATTGTCTCCTCGTCGATTGTTTAAATTATCAACTCCCTCAGTATTTAAACTGTAGCAATAGAATCACACCATCTATCACAATATCAACATACAATAACTATCATAACGTATCGCATTCGATATACTTATCCTGTTTTCTTTTTTCCGTCTTGCTTGTTGCTTTCTGCCTTAACATCAGCATCTTCCATATTTGATATCTGCTTACCACGATTCAGCATAAGCGAAATTATCAATCATTTGATTGACGATGACGCGAAAATGCAAATAACAATAATTAGTCAAACAATAATTTAACAACCAGCGAGGAGACAACAATTTGATAACCGCAATCAGTAAGGCCATCATTTTTTATAGCTATGTTTCGCGTTGTCCGCACGCATACGGAAAAAACAAAAAACAACATGCACAGTGAGTGTACAATTGTGCGAGTCATCAGTGTGGACAGGTTGCATACGGCAAAGCTGGGATTCAGAAATGGCCTCTAGCCTAGGCAAGCATTGGTAAATCGTTTGTTCGGCATCTGGGAGCAATATTCTATGAGCTTACACCAGACTGCATTGATCGCCTAAGCTGAGAGGAGGCGTCGTTCCGGAGCTCTTTGCACTGCTGCTGAAATCTGAGTACAATATTCCAGCGAAGCATAGGCACCATGACCAATGGTTGCCTTCTCTGTCCAAAGTGAATATTTACTCATGCTGATAACCCATATGTTGTGCTTTGACGTACGATTTTTCTTTCGAATGTACACCATGCACGAGCTATTGTGCTATGTACAGTGCATACACCTCTGATCAGCCTTTTTATTATTTTGCAACTTTTTTATTTTTTTCCACCTCTCGCATATTATTCTGGAAGTTGAACTGACGCGAAACATAGATATAAAATAATGATGGCCTAATACTAGCTGGATCGACATTTGTGTACACTTTATTCATGTCATATAAAACTGTGGAGAAAATGTGCAATAAAACGATGAAAAATGTGAAGAAATTTGGATTGAAACAAGTGTTCGTACAACACTCATCAGGAATCACATTTTTCATCGTTTTATTGCACATTGTCTCCACAGTTTTACATTACATGAATAAATTGTACACAAATGTCGATCCAGCATGTATTACTGGTTGCGGTTATAAAACAATAATTTATGATATTAAATAGTTTTACTCGGTTAAGGAGGCAATTTAATAATAATAATGGTAAAAGTGAAGAGAACAACATGTTACGAGTTATGGCAAACAGTCCACCAACGTGACCAGATCATATGCAGGCAGCGAGTGCGACAAAATGGCACAACACTTACAAGGAGTACGGAGACATTCAGCAACTTGACACCTAGCTCGAACAATTCTCCAAGGCGCAAGCCAACAAACTTCCAACTTGAAAGGCTCAGGTTCGGACATGTCCAAGAGGGAAGGAAAGCATATTAATGTTGGATAGAATGACTCCTCCATTCTTCTATACAGTCATACTACCGTATTTCCGCAAATGGTAGGCCGGTCTACTATTTTTTTCAAACTCGTCCTAACCCGGCCTTATAATTGAGGACGGTCTTGTATTTGAGGACGATCTTTTCTTCTTTCAACCCAGTTTCACCCCGGTCTTCTATTTTTCGCCACACAGTTTTACCCCCGTTCTTCCATTTTCTTCTACAGAGTTTAAGTACTGTCTTCAATTTTTCCCACAGTTTGAGCACGGTTGTAAGACTCATTTAGTATACCCGGTCTTTCATTAGGACACGGTCTTGTATTTTTTCAATCGCCCCTGCCCCAGCCTTGTATTCAAGGCATTGTATACGAGGACGATCATTTATTTGCGGAAATACGATGACTTGTACACCCTTGAAAAACACCTCAACTTCAAAACTATGTATTTGTTCCGCTGCCTGCATGGACTTGCTAGTCCTCTTCTAGAGATCGCCATCCTGCGAGAGCACCACGTGGTCTCCACCATTGAGGAGATCACCCCGAAGTTGAGAGGTGCCAAAGTGTTCTCGATCGTCGACGTCAAGTGTGGGTACTGGAATGTGGAGCTCGACGACGAATCCAGTTACCTCACCACCTTCAACACACCATTCAGGCGCTACATATTCCTTCGCGCAATTTGGCCTCAAGATGTCGCAAGATGTCTTCCAAGCAAGGATCGACCAGACGTTCGAAGGGGGCCCAGATGTCACCGGCATCACAGACGACATTGTCACATACGGGACGTCAGACGAGGACCATGATCTCAACATGCAGCAGATGATGGTTCGCTGCGAACATTCTGGTCTCAAGTTGAACCCAAACAAATGCCGCATCAAAGAGGACAAGATCAAGTTCTTCAGCATCATCTGCAGCGCTGACGGATATCAGACGAGGCACTTTTGAAAGTCTTGGGTCCCCACGGGAAAGCCGCTAGTACAGTACGTCATGGGCACGTAACGACCTGCCGAGGTTTGAAGGTGGCATCTGGTGTACGCTATGTAAGCTTCCACCTTGCTCGCAATGCACAGTTCAGCCCGTCGTACGTCAGGACACCTGGTGGTCACGTGTTCTCTGTACGGTACACTGATCAGCCAAAGACCTGCACACTGTGTGATTCACCAGGCCACCTGGCTACTCACTGCCCAAAGGGAAAGCGTTCAGTACGGGAGAACGAAGAATCTCCATCAAATAATGAGCAAGCAAATGTGCAACAGCCGGCTGTACATTCGTACTCTGATGTCATAAACAGCTCCCAAGCTCCGCCACAAAGCAAGCGCGAGGTAAAGAACCACGGCAACACAGACCAACCAGCCATAGCAGCAGACGTAACAGTCGAAACCTCAGCGGTAGACACACAGGCGGGGGCACCAGCAGATGGAGCGGTGATTGAGCCCTATCCTGGGGTATCCGAAATGCTCATGGAGGTACCTGCACCAAGTGCCACACCCACAGCTCCCAAACACCGACCAGTCTGTGGAAAGACCAGTCACCAGTCTCCTGACACACCACCCAGTGCGTTTGTTCTGGCAGTCGGCAAGCCGTTTGTTGTAGGCCAATGAGACTGCAGCGCTTGAGCAGGGCCAACTGGCGGCAAGGATTGCATCACGCAGTAGTTTGCTAGGCCGCAAGATCACCATGTGCTCGTAAGTCTCAGTCACAGTTAAACACGGACAATGCGCTTAACCCATGTGCTTACCCAATCAGTCCACCAAGACCAACACCTCAACTTAACCCCAACGCCACGCCCTTCAATCCCAACTTCATTTCCAGCACACCTCCAGCCAAGTGCTAGGAGCTTCGAACCATATTCTTAACCCTAGAACAACCAAAATGTCAACTACCCTAGATGTACCGGAGGCATCATATGACTCCACTGGACTTACAAACATACCTGCTTGGAATTATTTTCGGGGATATGTGCAGAAACAGAAGTCCTTGTGTAAAAAGTTCCTTTTAAAAGGAAGAACCAATGACAGGTGCGCTATCTTGGAGACAAGCAGCTGGCATTGCGCGCAGCGAAAGGGCGACCTCTCGTCAGTTTACGGAAATATGAAAGAGCATTTGCTTGCCATGCTCATACTGCAAACTCTACATTTCAGTCCATTACCCCGGAAATGGCTGCTGCTGGGCCAACCTGCTGGATCTTTCTCAGCCAGGTCGGTCATTCTTTGACTACTGTGATAAATACATTTACGAGTGAAAGGAGAATGTGGTGTCGCGACTCATAGCAAATGTATGATTTCCGTTCGACGTAGTGTCCGGATACTATCTTCGTGATCAAACCTCAAGAACTCTATATAATCAGCTATAATAATAAGCAGGGTGGCCAAGGACGTTTTGGGATACGTCAACCGTAGCAGACACCAGGAACCAGATCTTGCGATACAAGAGCTATCACTCAAGCAAAAGAATATTCGTCTGTGTATCAACAACTCCACCAACCCAGCAGTCAAGGCCAATCTGAAAAGACAGCGAAATGATCTTCAACACACCATCCGAGACAAGTGTCGAGTCAATGCTGAGGCGCTTCTGGAGGCCAAAGCAGCAGAGATAGAGAGGCTGAAGGACGGGGCATGCATGTTTGAAGCTGTGCACCTCATGAGACAACGGAAAGCCCAGAAACCGGCTGTGGCGGACGAGACTGGACGGTTTGCTGGCAGCGACGGTCAAGCGGCAGCTGTCGTCAGAAGTCACTTCATGAAGCCGTTTCTTTCAGTTGCATTCGGGTAAAAGTCAGTTAGGCTGAGAATTGTTCTCAAGGAAAAGTTTGCAACACACCGTCGCCAGTATAAAACATTAGAAAACTGTTAGAAACTGGAAAGCAGCCGACTCGTGAAGACGGATTGTAAACGCGAGAATCTAATCCTAAATTAGAAAAAATAATCCCGCTCAAGTAACATGCCTCTGTTCTTGCACCGAATCTCACCAGCATTATCAATATGTCTCTTAGAACTGGACAGGTTCCGCCAACCTTCAAAGTGTCACATGTCAGTCCCTTATGTGGCGACCCAACCCTGCCCCAGAACTATCGTCCAGTGTCTCTCCCCCCCATTATCTCCCGTATTCTGGAGACAATGGTTAAGAGACCGCTCACTGCCTATCTGGAGTCACACCAGCTATTGCCCGACAATTTGCTTATAGCAAGCAACATTCGACTGAGGATGCACTTGTGTTAGCTGTTAATCTATGGTTCACCGCTAGATTCAAACGAGAGTTCACTGGGCTCGTTGATATGTCAAAAGCTTTCGACCGTGTTAAGCATGAACGTCTAGTTACAGTTTTGTTTTCTCTTGGTATAGCTGGAACTGCCTGGAATGGTTCACTGACTACATCTCAGGGTGTTTCCAGAGTGTCAAAGTTCTGGACACTGTTAGTGAATCCGTCAGTTGCTCCCATGGTGTTCCCCAAGGTAGCATCCTTGGGCCACTGCTTTTTGTGCTCTACACTAGTGAACTCCAAACCATACTGCCGCCGTCGGTATGTTGCGGATTTCTGTTCGACTAAGATTTACGCATGTTGTTGTATTTGGTTCTTGTCTGGTAGAGTTCAGTGTCTGATGTCATATATGGTCTAAGTGTACGCGCGAGTATGGTATGGTGTTTTTTTCCGTTGTCTTTTTCTCGAGTCTTGTTTTCGTTTTCTCCTCCTGCGCCCTCTCCGTTTATTATTGAGAAGTGAATACTAGTATTGAAGCTAACTGAACGGTGTGTTGCTGTGTGGCGGGGGCCAGAAAGAGAACAATTAACTATTTCATGTACAGCACCAAGAACTTGCAGATGATATTGTCATGGACTGCTCCAATTCTGACCCTGCCATGACAAACCTTGCTACCTGGCTGGAGGACAATGGCCTGCTCCTCAACACTCCCAAGACACAGTTGCTCTTCATTCGGCCACGAGGCGCAGCTGCAATACAACTGGAGGTCTTCTGCAATGGCGAGAAATTCTGTGTGACCCCTACAGCCAAGTACCTTGGTTTAGTCCTGGATAATGATTAATCCTGGGCTCCACATGTGGAGTATATTGGTCGCAAGACAGCGTGAACAATTGGTCAGCTCTGAAGGCATGGACGAGGACTGAGTTTGCTTCCCCGGCAAACATGGTTTCTGAGCATGATCTTTTCCCAGCTGTGTTATGGTTAAAATCGCTTCTTTCCAGGACTTAGCGCACACCTGCTTGATCAAGTCTCCAAACTCTCCAAGACGGGTCTACGGTCAACCCTCCAACAGCGTAATCTAGTGCCCACAGCTCCTCTTCTATCCCTGCTGGTATCACAAGTGCATCCTCAGTCGAATGTGCCTCCAGATAGGCAGTAAGCTGTCTCTTAACCATTGTCTCCAGAATACGGGAGATAATGGGGTGGAGAGACACTGGACGATAGTTCTGGGGCATGGTTTTGTTGCCACACAATGGACTGAAATGTGACACTTTGAAGGTTGGTGGAACCTGTCTAGTTCCAAGAGACAAATTGATAATGCTGGTGAGATTCGATGCAAGAACAGAGGCCTCTTCATGTGAAACTGGCTGGAAATTGGATAGGGATACGTGAGAACTCGGAGGCTTTCTCACGTTTCTCTTCCAAGAAATGCAGTGTACAAGGCCTCGAATTTACTACGATGGACTTACCGAACACAGCCTTCACTGGATCACATGCACTAACGACAGTTCACCTTTGTCCCAATGCAGTCCACAGGCTTCTAGCTCGTCTTGAATTCCTCAAAGGCGACTGGACCCGACGGAGTTTCCGCGCCTGTCTTGAAGGAATGCGCCAGGGAAATTGTAAAGATGCTATCTCAGCTCTTTGCTTCCAACACGGAGTTCCACCTGGAAAAGTCTTCCACAAGCGGCGTCAGATTTAGGTCATAAAGGGTGGGGGAGGGTACATGAGATCAACTAGCGAAATGCCAAATCCCGAAATCCCATGTGCCAAATCTCAAAAGAACAGAACTACGACAAAAATGCCTTTTTACGGTACATGCCCAACATGACTTACAGGGTCTGTAATTTGGTTGTGGTGTTGAACAGCTCGGCAGGTAGGTGAACAAGTTGATTACCAATCAAATCTCTGGGACAACAAAGTAGAATTTTGATAGGATGTATATTACTTCCTGGAAGAATTTCTTCTTACTCTATTTGGCGTCTCAGAGGAGAAGGACAACCTGTTACGAGTTATGACTAGGGATTATTATTATTTATACAAAAGAGAAAGATTATTTTTAAAGGAGTCAGCACTCAAAGAAAGTTTAAACTCGGATACTGAGCCAGTAATAAAATGTAAAAAAAGAGAAGAAACACATGAGAACGAGTTATGCAGCAACTATCCACGACGGTAACGAGATGATAAACGGTCAGAAAGTGCGATAATAGGGCACAAAACTGACAGGCTACTGAGACATTCAGCGACCCGAGACCTAGCTTTAACACATCTCCAGTGCGCAAACCAACAGCCTTCAAACTTCGAAGGTTCATGGTTACGTAGGACCGAAGAGGGGAAGGTGAACGCAGCGAAAATGTGCGAGACATATTCCGGGCCTTGTTCCGCTCAAATTTGTAATGGGTGAGCTTGTCAGGAGTGGGGTATTTCTTGCACTGGATGTGAGAGTCTCGCTTGTGCTTTAACTGAATTCTTAGTGCCAGAGTGAGCCACGAGGGATTACTGGGTGACAGGGAAGATATATCTTGGCGAATGCAGCTGGCCACAGGTGCGTTTCAACGGCTTTGGCCACTGTGGGTGAGAGGCTCGCAGGTGAGAGAGAACAGACGTGTCAAGCTATACAATGCATTTATCACACCAACACTCCTGTGAAATTGCTCAACATGGGAAGTCCCAAGCAATGTCTTCAAGCGATTGGAAGCCTTCCACAGACGTCACATGGCCAGCAATCGAGGACATCTGGGAGTTGTAATTTTTGTACTCCTCCGGGGTGTGATTTTTGGCGTGCTGGGCCAAGCACAAGGAAGCCACCTGTCAAAAAAATTAAGAAAACGGTTGTTGTTGGATCCTTTGGTGTAATCTTTGTAGCTAGTCGAAGCAAGCTGCTGTTTGGAGCAGAAACGCTGAAATTGACTTTTTTCTGTATGTTCTCATGCATGTGCTCATGTACTCACGCATGCAGTCTCACTCATATTTTAGCTCTTTTTCTGGGATGGATGCTGCTCTGCGCCCCTTGGTGAACATTTCCTGCGCTCGTAGAGCAGCTGAAAAGGACCACTGGTTGTTTGTTTGTATTCTTTATTTAGAGTGGGAAGTCCAAAACAGGCCCTAGCCTAATAACAATGGTCCCACTAGTGAGGGAATGCTGTATATCTGTGCATAAGCCTAGCGGAACAGTGAGTGTAACAGCAACTAGTAGGGAAAGAAAAAGAGAGAAGAAAAACAACTCAAAACAGGAGTTGCGACTTGCATAGGGAGAAAATAACGTAAAGAGCAGTGCATACAGTATTTGTAAAAAGGCTTATTTATCTGGTAAGCAAAAAGGCAAGAGCCATTGACTTAAAGCGATTGCGTTTTCTTTCTTGCCTGACCGCAGCGGGGAGCTGGTTCCATAAGATGGTCCCAGCATAGGTAACACGTTTGGCAAGATATGCAGTTGGGCTGGCTGGGACAATCAGTAAATTGCTGTGCCCACCACGAGTTTGAGTGGAATTACTGCGGCTGAAAAAGTTAGCGAACAACATGCTGATGTTAGAGGAGTCATGGAGACAACGCCAGATAAAAACCAGAAGGTGCATGTTGGTGTATGTGGTCAATGTTTGGATGTTCATGCGTGTAAGAATATTGCTTGTGGGTGTCCCGGGAGGTACCCGACAGACTGTGCGTACAGCACGCTTGAAGAGCCCATTAAGCTGTCGACTTTGATACGCCGTGAGAAATGGTAAGTAAGCAGAAGCGGCATACATAAAGTGTGATAAAATGAAAGAACGAAAATAGGCTATGCGACATTGAAAGGGCAGGAACGTAGCGTATCGTCTGAGCACGCCAACTTTCGACGCGACGCCCCGTGCGACGTGGTCGACCATGGTGTTCCAGCTCATGTCCGCATCAAAGTGGAGACCTAAATATTTCGCAGAGCGAACAGTTGGCAGAGGCAGTCCATTGCATTGCACTTGCAAGTCAAATGTTTGAGATCGTACTGGCGATATCGACATGATCTGTGTCTTCGTTTCATTCAAGATGAGACCGCGGTTCCTAAGCCAATCGGCGAGGTGCTGGACAGCACTTGAGAGATTTTGGGACACCTCATCCATGCTCATGCTGCTGGATCTAATTGAGATATCATCCGCAAATTGCAGGGTCGCAACGTTGTAAGGGGACAGCTCTTTCGCAATGTCACGGACGTAGAGAACAAACAACAGGGGCCCGAGAACTGACCCCTGTGGTACTCCGGAGAAGCTGGTGTATGGTGAGCTCTGTACCTGACCGACTTTAACATACTGTGTCCGATCTGAGAGGTAGTCTGCAAGCCATTGCAGCACCGTTCCACCAATTCCGACCTCGAATAGGTCCTGAATAAGGGTTTGGTGCTTCACCTTATCAAATGCTTTTGACATATCTACGAAAGCAATCCCCGTGAAGTACTTTTTTGTCTGGGCTTGGCATATGCCCTCAACGGCTAATACAAGGGCATCACATGTGGAATGATGTGAACGATAGCCGAACTGAGTTGGTGGAAATAGATCATGTTGGCACTAGTACTGAGTGAGCTGATCATGGATGACTCGCTCCAAAAGCGTTGAAACTATCGACATTAGAGACACGGGTCTGTGATTCTTTGCTATGCTGGGATCACCACCTTTAAACAGAAGTAAAATGCTGGCCACCTTCATAGGAGCTGGGACATGTCCCTCCCTCATGGATTTGTTGAACAGTAAGGCCAATGACGGCGCAAGAACATCTGCATGAGCTCGAAGAAGGGCTGCAGGGATGCCGTCACTGCCAGTTGCCTTCGTCGGATTCTGTTGCTCTAGAAGCTTCCGGACTTTTGCCATAGATACAGGAACAAATTCCACAAAACTAGTTGCCGTTCGTGGCCCTTGGGGTAGGTGAAGATGAACTGGGCGGCTGGGATCTTCCACGATCTTGGCGAAAGCACTTCGAATTGCCTCAGCTGAGCACTGAAGCGGTGCCGATTTTCTTTGTTTCCCCGTCAACTGGTTGATGATTCGCCAGGTTTGTTTTACATCACAAGTCGCAAGCTGAAATTTTGTACTGTAGTACGCTTCTTTCAGCTTCCGGTTCCAGGTAGTGGCCTCCCTTCTCGCCGCTTTGAATGTAGCATACCTTTGCTCAGATCTGTCTGACAGCCACTTTCTATGAAGCCGGTTGCGCTTACTCAAAAGGTGCAAGAGCTGGCTGTCCATCCACGGTACCGATTGTCGCTTGTGCTGCTTACAAGATCTAAGAGGGGCATGAGTGTCAAGCACCTGCAGGAAGCGATTATTCCACTCCGTCCACATGTCTGTTGGGCTGCCTTCGATGCTGCAAAAATTCTGCTGAATCAAGTCAGCTTTGAAGCTTTCATGATTTATCCTTCGGTAGTTCCGGCACAACATTGATGTCTCGGGACTCCTTGTCGGGTCAAGGTAGAATTCACTTATGACCGCTGCATGGTCGCTGAAAGCCACGGGATGGATCGTTGCCACATTGTGCTGGTCAAACGTATTGAAGAACAGATCCAATGTGGTGGCTGTGGAATTAGATGCAAACCGTGTCCGCTGATGAACGCACTGGTGGAGACTGTAGCTTGCCGTAAGATCAGACAGGAAATGGAGCTGATGATCTGGAGCCGTTGATGGATCCACATTCACATTTAAGTCACCGCACAGTATAACGTTCCTGCCCGGAGTGATAGCTGAGTGTAGAAGACCATCAAGGCGATCCCAGTAGCCAATAGGTTCAGAGGGAGGACGATAGATTGTGCCTATCAAGCAACTCCCACCAGTGCAGGGAATCTCACCCCAACAACTCTCAACCCCAGCAGCAGCTATATCGCATCTCGGCTTGAGAGGCAAGGATGTTCGGGAATATAAGCAGACACCTCCACCAACTTGATCCTCTCGATCAGCACGCAAAACATTGTAACCTGCCAACGTGATTTCTCCATCAGTAATTGTACTATCCAGCCATGTCTCGTTCACACAGACAATATCAGGACAATGCTGGCGGGTGAGTTGTGCTAGGTCATTAATCTTGTTTCGAAGGCTTCTGATGTTTATCAGTAGAACTTTCAGCTTAGCGTCACCACTCAGTCCTCCCCTGTCTCTGAAAGGTGCTTTCGGATGGCGCAATCTACCCGGAAAGAAAGTTGGAGCCTGCGCATTCAGTATCGAGGTGTTCATTGCGCCTCTGCTTGGTCGGACCTGAAGCGCCAGTCACGGAGAGTGTATGCAACTGTTTCAGGCCAGAAAGACTTTTCACTAACTTTGTTCACGTCCTGAGCGTCAACTGTTATTCTCGCGGAGGCCGTTCTGAAGTATTCAGAAGAGTATATAATACATTGCACTATCTCCACGTCCCGATCTCTGCACCATTCAGCGATGGACTGTGCCTGGCAACCATACGGGATTTGCCCCAGGTAGAGAACTTTCCGCGGGTCTCTGGGGACGGTGTCTAAGGAAGGTGTCGGGTTGCTATCGGACGTACGTTCCCGGATGTTACGTGAAGACTCGTGGCGGCGGATGGGATTTGTCTGCGCTTTGCGACTGTAAGTCTGCCGTTCCGCAGGACTTGTAGCCTTCTCCGTCCCGGAAGGTTCTGATGCTAGCCGGCTCTTGAAGCGTCGACGCTCCTTCCTGGACATGACATCCTCGACTGGCGCCTGGTCAACCGATATGTCCATTGGAAGGTCAATTGGGGCAGTATCTCTAGATATGGCCTGTGAATACAACTCCTTGGGTTCATTCCTAGCAACGTCTTCAAGCACTGATCCTTCACCTCGGGATGTGGCATGTAGGTCTCTTTGTGCTCTTTCAATCTTCGAATAGCTCGCCAGGGGAGCAGTCATCTGCGGCCGGGCATGCTTGTGCTGTTTCCCGCCGCTGGCCCTCTCCAAGTCTCCTACGCTG